AGCTGAGAAAATTTCTTTCCCACTTCCTTTTTTTCCACGATTTCGATCGTTTCCTTTTGTTTTTTTCTTTTTTTTTTTTTTTTTTTTTTTTTTTTTGTGGTTTAACTTGGTTGTTCGGTTGGTCACGTGTGAGATTGTTACGTATGGCTTGTTCTTCTTATTTAAATTAATTCTTCGAGGGCTAGGATGTGAAAATCTAGGGATTGACCTTTAACCCTCTCTAATCAAAATTTCATTTTTCATTCTCATTGCAAAAGATGTGATACATCAGTGGGTTACTGTTATGAGCTGTTATCCATTGTTTGGTAAGTTACATTTGCACAAGAATTTCTATGAAAGAACTCAGTTTTGTCTTAGGATTATTAGATATTACAATTAAATTCCAATTAAAAGTTTTGAAACTAATAATTGTTGTAAATAAATCATTTAGATAGGATTTTCGTAATTAAGAAATTTCTGCTAAAAGTGATATGATATTGTAAATAGCTGATTGAACTTTTGCTTTATTACGTGATTTATGCGATCTATTACGAGAATGAAAAGTAATTGGTAGCGAAAAACATCCAATTATATAAAATGTTTGTCCTTCGACAACTTCTGACAAATGGACTTCTACTGTAGAGCAAGAAATCAATGGGTTCCTATTATACGAATTCCAATTAATTATTTTTTCTATTTTATGTTATACAAAATTTTACATAAATGGAGTCATTCTGTTTATCTCGAGATACGTGCAGACTTTTGTGTGAACGATTAGGTACGTCGGGAGATTTAGATGGTCTGGCGTTTCGTTCTACCAGCACTATCGCATAATCACAGGAGTATGTAGAGAACTAGTTGCGCAAGTTGTCGTTGGCGATTGAAACGATACGGGGCTGTCTAAGAAAGTCAATGGGGAATTTCAGAAAGCGCATCGTACGATAGGCTGTGTGATCGTATCTTTTCTATTAACAAGAAAAGTATACTAGTATCGTGTTAGATTTCTGGATATCGCGCTTCTAAATATCGTGAAATAGAGTAGAAATCGTTTCAAAAAAAAAATCCGACTTTCAATACACATTAAATCGTCGGAGTCGTTGACTTCTTTCTAAATAGAACGGTAGATTTTTTTTTCGTAGACATGAATGCAATTCACATTCCAATGAATACAATGACTGTAGTTACGCAGGGTCATTCAACGTCGTAGACAAAGAGAAAGCAGTTGTACTTCTCTAGATGCTGAAGAGATTTTGAGCAATGGCTATTGAATTTAATCCAACGATTGACACAATCTGCGCACACAGATACGAATTACCGTATTTCAAGAAAGTGTAATGATTTTGGATAAAACGAAAACAATTTTTACGTTCTATAAACAATTGAAACGGAACCTAAACAGTAAATTTCATTGATTTCAAATATATTTTGTCATTCAATTTGAATCTTCTCGTAACTGATATCTCTTACCTAGTTATGAATGTTTATGGATTTTTGGGAAAGTAAAAAAATTTGGAATTCACGAAATAAGTATGTAAAAATATATAAAATATCCAAAACAGAACACTTGTGCAAATTTAAAATTGCATCTGATTCCGTGCAATTGAACCTAACTCCATGATTTATACCTGAATAAATGAAACATACCCTGGGCTATCGTGAAAGTGACAACTTTATGAAAAACGCATCTTGCTACTTTTCCCTTGAAAATTCGCTGCGAACGCCTTAAAAAAGAATCAACAGATTGCTCATACATAATCTCCGACGAGATATTGTCACGAATCGCCATCTATCCAATCGTTCGATCTCGATTTGGGCTCCACGATGATTCTTGCTCTTTCGTAACATCGCGATCGCGAGAGACGATTCGGGGAATTTTCTACCAAAGGTGGAGAGAGAAAAAAAAGGGGGAGTTTCGATCGGAGATTCTGTCAGCGGCGGCGCGAGCCATCGAGCGACGGGGCCACGACGTGCGAATGCGAACATAAATCCAAATTAGCGGCAACATAACGCAACCGCGCGCTTCTATCGGTGCTACGATTCCGAGGGGAAGAAGCTCCTCTCTCTATCTAGAAGCTGGTGTTCGCACGCGCGAATGACAGTAAATCGTATGGCCGCGATATCGGGAGGCTCGATCGGCCCGAGACGAACCGCTCGTTTCACCAGTGCCAGGCCTCTTGCTCTTTCAACCACCACCGTGAAAATCTTAAGTCTGCGATCTATCTTCTCGCGTTCTGACGATTTCTTATCCTTCCTGGTTCGCCACTGCTCCAGATACAATTAGCGACAATCAAATACGGACTGAACTAGAGAGTGGATACATTGTTTATTTCAATATTTATTTCCATAGCTACGAAAGCTATTTATTTCAATATTTATTTCAATATTTCCATAGCTACGAAAGCTATTTATTTCAATATTTATTTTCAATGTCTTCAATATTTTGTTTTAATATTTAGTTTTATTTAAAAGACGTGTTCTCACGATTCTTGTTTGCTGTAGATTGTTTTATGGATTCTCACAATGATAATTGTACATATCCTGTTTCATTGCCTTGTTTGTTATGGAAAAATTATGTCTATGAAAATAAGTATGTAGAAAACTTATTGGATCGTGTAAAGAATTTATAGAATCTTTCATAGAAATTAGGGAGTTTATAATTCTCCCCTTTACCATTTTTCGTATATGTAACAAGAGTTCAGATTCAAATATGTAAATATATTCAATATATTCAAGCAAGAGTTCATTTAATCGGATCTTGACTGAAATTTGGTTCAAAGAAACGAAGTAATAAACATAGTTTCTTATGTATTCCATGTCGTCTTCCTAATAATATTTCGTGTCTCGCATTTTAGTAAGCTCCTCTTTTCAATTATGACAAACACGTAAAACATGTATAAATAATTTACTGTTTGGATAACAGAATATTTAAATATTAAAATATTCGAAAAATAATTTAGATATTTTTACTATTGATAAAGCTATTGTGCCAGAGTAGTTCAAAAATTGTTCGCAATACAATTATAAAATTTATTAGAATAATAATTTTGCAACATTGCTTGCTTTTTTTATGCTTTTGAAGAAAAAAGATTTGTCTAAAATAAAATTTATTCAATCCTAAATTCTACTCCCTTTAACGTACATATCGATAGCTTTGAAGTATTGGAAGTACATGTATATCAAAGAGCATACTTGGAGCATCTATCGAACGTACAACGAACTTCTCGTACCAACTTACCAACAGTCGAGAATGTCGGAGGAATTTTATCAAAATCAAGATCGAAAATTTGCAATACACACTTTGTATGTATAATAGCAGAACTATTGTTTAATTAGACCAGATATTCAATAGTTTTTCGTGTCCTATGTTTTGGGGATCACCCGAGCCCTTTACCATTTTCATGTCACATCCTACTATATCGATTTACTCAGGTTTTGCACAGCAGCGCTACTAGTAATAGGAATTAAAATCAGAAAATACTTTTTTTCCATTATCTCGGCTATTTTTGTTCTTTTTAAAAAAAATCGCATATATGAGTTTTAATAAGTAGATAGCACATCTAACAGCAATAATTGCATTCTGTTCCCTTTAAATAATAACTCTGTTAAAAATTTAACACAAATTCATGTAAATAAAATAAACCTCCGCAATTTATTTATGCATCTTTTTGCATGTTTATGTTTCCCATAAAAATATTTATAAGACTTTTTTTTTAACGTTCTGAGGTATCGATCGGTCAATTATCTGGTCTAAGAGAATTAAAGGAAAAAGCATGGAAATCTGATCACAGAGAAGTTAAAAAAAAATATTCATAAATAAAAAGACCTTTTTTTGCTTATATATATATAAGCATAATAGATATATATATAACTATAATATAATATATAATTATAATATAATGTCATATATAACTATAATAGCTATAATAGATATTCAACGAACAATGGATATAACAACGAAATTTTTCACCGCGTAATTATGACAACAATCAGTTCACATCTATTCCGATTTATTTTCCACTACGACTCGCAAGGCAGTGAAGATAGAGAAGGCATTTGAGACATACTGAAACAGTTTCAACTTACTATTGTCTTTGTTTCGTCGTGATTAATATTCAAACGTGAACACAGCTTACCGAACAATAGTAACGCAAAGAAAGCTCTTCCAATAGGCAGCTGATCGAAAGAGTTATCGGTTTCTGATATAGCATCACGTTTAGAAACATCTTTTGCAGCTTCAGCGACTGTTTATACCATTTTCCATCGTATACGCTCCGTGAAACGTTTATACTCTAAAAGTTGAAACGAAAGAATTAGAAAGACTGATCAAAGTATCCAGTGCAAGAAAGAGCATAACTGAACCAACGATGAAAAATTATCGATTTTGTAAAACTTACTGTTATAGAGAGAAAAACTTTGTAGGAAAAAAAATTGTGTAACAATCCATGATCTCATTTAAGCTTCTACTTACGAATCTAATCGTGAGAAAAATTTGTTTAAAATGAAAAGTCTTTCATTTAAACTTCAAGAGAATTAAAATCTCGTTTTTATATTTTGTAACGTAGCTCCTTCTTGAATATAAATTCATAAGTTTAATATTATTTACCCATTCCTTCATGTAATCAGCTGGCCACGCGAACATATAAACTTGTATGAGCATAGTAACAGATATAGTTATAAACTGCGTTTTTACAACCTGCGGTGAATTCTGTTCATACAGATTGCATCGTTAATTCGTTATGTTGTACAAGTTGTTCCAATTTTCATGGTAATGGAATACTGGTTGATTCTAAGTGGAAAAATATGGAATACAATTTTTTCAAAGAATGATTCGTTTCTGAGAATATTAATTTTATCAAGCATGCCAATTTTTAACAAAATATATTTAAAGTCTATTTAAAAACTGTACGATAAACGAAAAGATTTTATACATTTACTGTACTTTTCATTTACATTTAGAATATCAAGTACATTTCATTTGCATTTAGAATATCGAGTGACGATCGTTCAGTTTTATCCAGGACAGAATTAACCAAATTTAGCTATACAATTTTCAAGTTGCACTTCTCAGACACGATTTTCTTAGAAACGAAGCGTTAAATAAAAAAAATTCTATTCTATTATATTGTTCACTTACATTTACGTGTCGATCGTTCATTTTTGTCCAGTACAAATTCAAACGAAGGCAACAGGATTGAATAAGAAAATATTACTCTTTCCTCTATTTTTAAACGTAGAATCACCACTTGTACCATGAAAACTGCGACGCTCTTTATATTATACAAGATATCAGAAAATTTACTTACCACGATCATAATAATACCACATAATGTTAGAGCACAAGTGCCCACCGAAATAGCGTACAGTACCAAAAAGCGTAAACAATTGACCACTTGTTCCGCGTATCTGAAAGAAAAATTTACATCATCGTTGAATTAAGAACATTGTAACAGCCAATTCAAACGATGCAGTTTTTTGACCGAAATTCGGTAATTCTTTCAAATTGATAACAGCTGAAATTAAAGTTATCTTTATGAAGGATCCAATTTTCACGTATATGCCTACTATTTTTATTTGATCGTCTTTTCTGCTAACTGCAGTCTAGCAAAATAGACACGAATACGTCTTTTATTATATATTTTTACAATAAGACTCCATTTATCCGACATCGCCAAAATCTTTAATTTACCAAAATTCTATTATACGAACTGCTCGTGGTTCGTGCTGCTAAATCAAAAAGACATATCTGACACTTTCGCTTCAATCAAGTTATTAATACCAAGTGGCACGAAAATAGTTTATCCATATCATAAAAAGATCTTGAAACTGAAAACTGAAAACATTTGTCAAGCCACCTTTCGATCAGACACGTCTATTTGAATTAATGCAGCAGCACAGAAACGAGTATAAATATAAATCCAATTTTATGAACATCAGTTGTCATGCGAGTGTAGAAACGATACTGAAAGGAAAAATCAATAGACTTTCATTTGAACGATCCAGTCACCCAAGTCATCTCACTCCCATTCTGTTTTGAATAAATGAAGCCCCACTGTAGAAAAGGCAAAAAAAAAAAAAGATGCAGAAATGTGTAAACGCGTGCTTCCGGAAATTTAGAATTTGTCATTTCTCTGATTTCGCTGTAAATTTGGAAAAGTCAATTTAAAAAAAAAAACCATTTCGTTCAAATTGACTGCAAGATGCTGATTTTTTACCTCCTTAAGTGCAATTGTTTCTTGATGCAAACGATCAACGTGTCGATATTTGAACTGTTCTGAAATTCCATGGCCAAACATTCGAATCTCGCAGCGGTGAACCAAAGTAGAAACGCGCCGAAAGCGCTTAGGCACACATGGGCAGCGCATTGGAAGCAAACGAAAGATTGATGGAAATATATGAAAATGATAATCGACGTGTAATTAACGCGAAATGGATATTCACATTCTAATGGATAGTCAATCGGCAAGGCGACCGGTCCCATCACGAAAACTAGCCCGGTTATGTATACGAATATTAGAGTCCCTCCGTAAAAGACGTTACATTTCGCGATATACTTGCTGAAAATATCTCTCTCGTACTGTCGTGCCTCTTTAAAACAGACGACCATTTCGTCGACTATACGCTGCAATCGGTAATCGAAACGGTGTATCTATTTGGTATAATTATAAGGCTAAAACGGTTTGGATTTCATAGATTAGGATTTTTGACGAATTTGAGACACACAGTTATTTAAATACCATTTAATACTAGTATAAAAGATTTCAATACTAGTATAAAATAACTTTTAAATATTATTATACCTATCAAACAATTTTTGGTAAAACACAAGTAATCGGAGGTATTTAAAATTATTGAAATTATGGCTGAAGTGCCGTTACATTCGTTCAACGTACATGGAAAAATAAAATTCGATTTCGATTCAAGTAGGGAAGGCGAAAGATGTCAATGTGTCTGAATGCTTTCACACACTTGTGTTTGATTGGCAAACTTTTTGTCAGTAGTAGACTAATTGTTTCAATGATTAATTTGGCCATCGTTTTAATATTATTTTACGAAGGACTACGGCTATAACAGTAGCAAAAAACTGTAACTATAACAATAATTATTTCGTATTATTTCATATTAAAACAACGTACAGTCATTTAAATAATCGTTTCTCTCAAATATTTCATTTAAATCAACGTCTAAATGCAAAAGTGTAACTAGCAGTAACTTACTTGCAGAGAGCCGTAGTTGACCACGTACATAAAAGACTGAATAGGATGCTGGCTTATGCATATCGACAGACAGAACGTCTTCGAGGAAATGACGAAATTGTCTAAATGCAAATAAGTCGTATATATCAATAACAGAACGATGATGCCAGTGCTGATACCTGAACAGATTATTAGAAGCTTGAAAACGAGAACGCGAAGTTTGCTGCTACTGACAGGAAGCGGCCAACAAAAAGTAATGACCACGCACAGCCAAATAATGTGGATGACTGTCTCCGGTTTCGACATAGTTTGCAAGGCTTTTAATTTTATTGAGATGTAATAGCTCCCCGACAGACAGAATATTATTATCCACCATCGAAAGCAACCGAACGAATACGACGTAAAATTCACTCGTACATACGTAACAGGAAGTTTCATAAATTATACGCAACGTAATAATAGACAATAACGTATCTATCGGTGATTAAATATGGTTTCGCGTATTAAAAATTCACTCGAGAACAATAATTATAGAGTTGGTGGGATACGCTACAAGGGTAGATACACGCGAAGCTTGATTATTATGCATGAAAATGAATATTCATAAAGGCTCGATACAGTGGGAAGCATCCACAAAAAAAATTGTTCTATACGTAGTGTTGAATAGTATACTCGCGATAGTTGTACGGAAGAGAGAAGAAAGCAACCTGCAAAGACTTTATCGCCGAGTGCAGTGTTTCATACGCTGTTGCATACTTCAGTCAGTTTTAACCCTCGCATAACAACGTTTGTCTTCTATTTTCGAGAAGTATATCTCGCACGTTCATTTTTCTCGAACATATCATATTAAGCAATCAATTAAAATTTGTGAAGAGCTTCGAGTGTGCTTATTATATAATTCACCATGAAAATCAAATTATTTCAAGAAAATTGGCCGATGGAAGATAATAACGGAGGTGGCATTATTTTTAAAAAAGAGTGGTAAGATAATTTTCTCGTTTCTTGGATCTACTACATATAGAATAATCGCAACAATGGAGTAGATTTCAACACAAAAAAACAAATAAATGTAAATTGATTTCAGTTTAAAATTTATGCGTTACAAACATATATATGTAGAGATTATAAGCCACACGTGAACCAATAATTTGCTTTCACAGTAAGTCATGTGATGGTGATTATATCCGTAAATAAAGAGAGAAAAATTTATACAAAGGAGGAAGAAAGAATACAGAGAAGAAAAGTAAAGAAAATAAAAAAAAGGAATAAAATAAAGAAAAGTACGTACATATTGACATAAGTCTTTCATAAATCTATACAAACATATTTAGCTTATAAAATGGTATAAAATACCTTGCAAATATATGTTATAAAATCTTATAGAATATATTTCAAATTAGTAAATTATATCGTATTATATCTTAGAGATACTAAATGATTTTATACAGTCATGTCACTTATATACATTCAAGGGAGAGTTCACTTTGTTTTCTTCATTTGGCTTAATAATTATGCTACATCTGTATCAAAATTTTGTTCCAACACGTACAGTTCTAATTTCTTTATTTTCTTCAATAAAAAATACATCTATATTTACCGAGTTCATTTATTATTACTATAGTTTTGTATTTTCTAAATATAATTAAGATATTTAGGATACTTTCTAAATACAGCTATGCTACAGTCTTATCTAGAATAGCACGTAGAGCAGTACACATGGACAGAGCATTGGACACATACTGAAAAATTACCATATTCATACAACTTTCGGTTAATTTATGAACAACAATTGAGTGATTTGCAGCAATAAGAATATCTCCAATATGCAAATTGCAAAACAAAGCAAAATTACAGATAATTGTTATAATTAATCCATTTAAGTACCGACGACTAAAATACAAAATTTATTTTAGAGAAACCAACGTGTAAGGAACGTGAAAAGTTTATAATAAAATAAGGACCACGAAACTTATATATTTAACTGAACTTTATGCAGTTCTTTAACATCTCCGTGTGAAGTTATGGGTATATAGACATCATTATTATTAAAATTATTTCTCGTTAAAACGAAAAAGAAAAATTTCTTAAACTTTTGCAACTGCAGAATGGAATTGTAAAAATCGTCCCACATTGAACGTGTTAAATGCACAACCTCTAACTACAAATCTATAAAAACTGCATACTTGACCACCTTGACCACTTTAGTATTAAATTACCAGAAAGTATTTCTTATTCCAAACAAAAATCATTCAATTGAAATTTGATTGTTGATTCGGCTTACCGTACAGTAATAAAGTAAAGACAGCTCCGGTACTAGAAAATTGACAGAAAGCTTTTCGGGGCTTTCAAATACCAAGACCTTCAGCAGATCCTTTTGCATTCTTACCGTTTCATCGTACCACTTTAACTCATATACGCCATGTGAAATGCTTAGACTCTGCGAATTATAGGAAATGAAAATATAACTTACACGTTAATAATTAATTTAGCCACCATGTATACCATGTCTTTCATATGATCAGCTGGCCAAGTGTACATGTAGAGATACATGAGAAAGACGAGAACGCCGGATGCAAACGGTAATTTCACCAGTAATGGAATTTTCTAGTAACAAATAACGCTGTCAATTCGTGCTATTCAAAAAACACTCTCTTCTTGCCATACTATTTACCATGACCATAATGATGACACTTAACGTCATCATTAACGTGCATGTTATTATCACAAAAAATATCATGAAACGAAAACAGCTCATCACATCCCGCGCGTATCTATGGAAAACAGCAGAAAGAGAAAGATACAGCCGTCAATGACCATAAGTACATTGTATTTATTCCAGATGTAATCGTTACCTTCTTAAACGTAGGTGTTTCTCAATGCAAACAGCCAGCATACGAATATCCGTGCATCTCTGTACTTCCACGCCTAAACATTCGAATCTTGCTGCCGTAAACCAAATTAGAAAAGCTCCGAACACGCATACGCATACGTGAGCGCAGGATTGCTGGCAGGCGATAATTAGATGAGCACGCGTCACAGCATTCATCAACGTGCGATTAACGTCAAACGGATATTCCACGTGAAATATGTGAATAATTGGCAAAAACAGGGGTCCGTACACGTAAAAAATCGTGATTGTGTATGCACACGCAATATAAGTTCCGTAGAAGCGGCCGCATCTAGCAATATAAATGCGAAAGATCTCCTTCTCGTATGGTTGTGCCTCTCTGATGCAAGTCCACAGCTCGTCGACTATGCGCTGTAATTTACACTTGAGACATCCTAAATACGAAGAACAATGAGAAATAATGAGTATCGACTTACTTGCAGAGTGTCATGCTTGCAGAAGCATACAACTGTTTGAACGATACATTGAATCTGCAATATCGACTGACCGATACATTTCGAAACAATCTCGATATCACCAGACCGCAAATAAATGGCGTAGAAGAGAAACAGTATCAGTAAGGTAACGTTAACAATTGAAAAGATCTGCGCCACTTTATAACCGAAGATTTGATTTCTGCTGCTGTTCATTGGAAGTGGCCAGCAAAAACTAAGTGCCACGGAGAACCGAGTAATGCTGAATGCTCTTTCTGGAGTCATTTGTTTCAACATAATTGCAACGAACATGTAACTGAAATCTAACAGCTGTAACAACACCATATGTACAGATTATACCATTCCAATTCTCTGAATAATTGTAGACGTTATTGCAGCAAATTTAATAAATCATCACACAACTGGGAACGATGGATGTTGAGGGATGGTATACATCCGCTGTGCGTTTTACTGCACATACTGAGTCACTGTAATTGCTCGTAGTTATTGTTCCGTGCGTTATACATAATGGAGGATGCGTTATTAAACGCGTACAAAGAAACGCTATTAAGAATCGGAATCAATATCTGTAACATAAACCTTTTCTTGAAAATGCAATATAGCGCAGGTACATTACATTCTACGTTCAGTCTACCGTGGAGTTCTTACTCGTGATGTGAGGAGGACTATATCTATCGATACTAGATTTTTTGAGGACAAGCCGTTATTATTAGACCATATGTTCGTGAGAAGTGAATAAGTTGTAAATATACACGTATATATTTTATAACGTTCTCGGGTATGTTAGTTATGACTAGCATTTATCTAACAAAGAAAAGAAAACAGACAGCGGGCGATGGGCAGTTACAAGTGACGCATTTGTTGAAATGTCAGAAATTGTATTCAGTCAGTGCTGCATGTATGTTTTAAAACAATTATTATTACTAAAGTTTTAATTACCGCGTGCATTACACGTCTATGAGAAATGTTTATATTGATAAACGTAAAGTGGGTTTGCTGTGCAATGCAATTGATATTCATGCAATCAGTATATGGCTGAAGCTTTGAAATAATCGTCGTACACGTGCAGTAGTAGGAGTACTTATGCAGTCAGCCGCATATTATACAAACAGAGAGAGAGAGAGAGAGTGCATATAATACATTTCCAACCAGAAATGTCTGTATTGAAGCGGAACATACAGTGTATATATTTTAATATAACTTATATTTATAATGTTATTTTAATATATATAATGTTATTTTATTTTATTACTTTATTTGTATATATTATTGTTTATTATATATATTATTATATCAGTTTATATAATTTACATGTATATATAGGAAGAGTTAAAAAGAATGTTTCTTTTCGATAATCACTTGTCAAACTATCTTTCAGACACGTCTATATGAATTTATGCGACAACATAGAAATGAGTATAAATCCAGTTTTACGAACATCGGTTGTCATGCAAGTGTAGAAACGATACTGAAAAGAAAAGTTGATAGACTTCTATTATTCGAACAATCCAGTCAGCCGAATCGTCCTACTCCCATTCTGTTTTGAATAAATGAATGAAGCCCCACTGTAGAAAAGTCAAAAAGACAGATACAGAAATGTGTAAACACGTGCTTCTGGAAATCTACAATTAATTATTTTTCTCTCTTCAAACTCGGAGAAACCTCCCGAATTGTTCTAAATTCGGAATTTGTCATTTTCCTGATTTCTCTGTAAATTTAGAAAAGTAATTTTAAAAAAAATCTACTCCATTTGTCAACAATGAAGTAGATTTCAATACAAACAGACAAATAAATGTAAATTGATGACTGTCTACAATTTGCACTACAAGTATATATATCTAGAGATAATATTATACGTCACACGTGAATCCAATAATTTACGTTCACAGTAAGTCATGCGACGGTTAATGTTTTGGTAACTAACAGAGAAAAATTTGTAGACAAGAGGAGGAAAGAATATAGAAAGTAAAAAGTAAAGAAAATGAAAATGGAGAATAAAATAAAAAAGTACGTGTTGGCATAAACATTTCATAAATCTAAGCAAATTATAATATATTTATAATTATAATATATTATAATATGTTATAATTATAATATATAATATATTTAGCTTATGAAATGTTATAAAATACCTTGCAAATATATGTTATAAAATCTTATAGAATATACTTGCAAATTATATCGCATTATATCATAGAGATACACATAAATGATTTTATATGTCATGCCACTTACATACGTTATCTATACATCCAAGGGCGAGTTTACCTTATTTTCTTCCTTTGGCTTAATAATTATGCTATAACTGTGTAGAAAAATTTTGTCTTAGCAAGTACAGTTCTAATTTCTTTATTTTCGTCAATAAAAAATACATCTATAGTTACCGAGTTCATCTATTACTACTATAGTTTTCTATTTACGTAATGTAACTAGGATATTTAGGATAATTTCTAAATACAGCTATGCTACATTCTTATCTAGAATAGCACGTAGAGCGGTACACATGGACAGAGCATTGGACACATACTGAAAAATTACCATATTCATACAACCTTCGATAAATTTATGAACAACAATTGAATGATTTACAGCAATAAGAATGTCTCTAATATCCAAATTGGAAAAAAAGCAAAATTATAGATATAATTGTCCATTATTGATAATTAATCCATTTAACTACTGACGACTAAAGTACAAAATATATTTTAGAGAAACCAACGTGTAAGGAACGTGAAAAGTTTGTAATAGAATAAAGACCACGAAACTTATATATTTAACCGAACTAGCAGTTTTTTAACATGACCGTGTGAAGTTATAGGTATATAGACATTATTATTATTGAAATTATTTTTCGTTAAACAATGATGATTAAATATCATTAAACATCAATCATCTCAAAATACATTGAAATATAAACGAAAAAGAAAAATTACTTAAACTTTTGCAACTGCAGAATGAAATTGTAAAATTCGTCCCACATTGAACGTGTTAAAATGCACACTCTGTAACTACAAATCTATACTACAAATCCATAAAAACTGCATAAAGAACGTCACTTTGACTACATCGGTACCAAATTACCAGAAAGTACTTCTTATTCCAATCAAAAATCATTCAATTGAAATTTGATTGCTGATTCGGCTTACCGTACAGTAATAACGTAAAGACAGCTCCGGTACTAGAAAACTGATGGAAAGTTTTAAGGGGCTTTGACATACCAACACGTTCAGTAGATCCTTTTGCATTCTTACCGTTTCATCGTACCACTTTAATTCGTATACACTACGTGAAATGCTTAGACTCTGCGAATTATAGAAAATGAAAATATAACTTACACGTTAATAATTAATTTATCGACCATGTATACCATGTTTTTCATGTGATCAGCTGGCCACGCGTACATGTAAAGATATAAAAGAAAGAAGAAAGCGATGAATGAAAACATGAGTTTCACCAGTAACGAAGTATTCTGATAACAAATAACGTTGTCAATTCGTGTTATTCAAACGACAATCACCTGTTGCATACTATTTACCATGATCATTAAGATGGCACATAGCGTCATGACTAACGAGCACGTCATTATAACAAAAAATATCATGAAACGAAAACAACTGATCACATCTCGCGCGTATCTAAAAAAAAAAGGAGAAAAGGGAAGATACAGCCATCAATGAGCATAAGTACATAGTATTTATTCCAGATGCAATCGTTACCTTCTTAAACGTAATTGTTTCTCAATGCAAACAGCCAGCATACGAATATCCGTGCATCTCTGTACTTCTACGCCTAAACATTCGAATCTCGCTGCCGTAAACCAAATTAGAAATGCTCCGAACACGCATATGCATACGTGAGCGCAGCATTGATGGGAGACGATAATTTGATGCGCACGTACCACAGCAGTCATGGACGGGCGATTAACGTCAAACGGATATTCCGCGTAAATTACATGAACAATTGGCAAAAACAGGGGTCCGCACACGTAAACAATCGTGATTGTGTATGCACACGCAATATATGTTCCGTAGAAGCGGCCGCATCTAGCAATATACATGCGAAAGATCTCCTTCTCGTATGGTTGTGCCTCTCTGACGCAAGTCCACAGCTCGTCGACTATGCGCTGTAATTTACACTTGAGACAAAGAATCCTAAATACGAAGAACAATGAGAAATAATGAGTATCGACTTACTTGCAGAGTGTTATGCTTGCAGAAGCATATAACTGTTTGAGCGATACATTGAATCTGGCATATCGACTGGCTGATACATTTCGAAACAATCTCCATATCATTCGAGCGCAAATAAATTGCATAGAAGCAAGGCAGAAGTAATAAGGTAACGTTAACGATTGAAAAGATCTGCGCCACTTTGTAACCGAAGATTTGATTTCTGCTGCTGTTCATTGGAAGTGGCCAGCAGAAACTAAGTGCCACGGAAAACCGAGTAATGCTGATTGCTTTTTCTGGAGTCACTTGTTTCAACATAATTGCAACGAACGTGAAACTAAAATTTAACTGATGTAACAGCACCATATGTACAGGTTATACCATTCCATCTCTCTGAATAATTGTAGACGTTATTGCAGCAAATTTAATAAATCATCACACAACTGGGAACGATATGTTGAGGGACGGTATACATCCGGTGTGCGTTTTACTGCACATACTGAGTCACTGTAATTACTCATAATTATTGTTTCGTGCGTTATACATAATGGAGGGTGCGTTATTAAACACGTACAAAGAAACGGTATTAAGAATCGGAATCAATATCTGTAACATAAATCTTTTCTTGGAAATGCAATACAGCGCAGCTACATTACATTCTATGTTCAGTCTATCGTGGAATTCTTTCTTGTGATGTGAGGAGGACTATATCTATCGATACTAGATTTTTTGAGGACGAATCGTTATTGTTAGACCATATGTTCGTGAGAAGTGAATATGTCGTAAGTATACGCGTGTATTTTGTAACGTTCTCGGGTGTGTTAATTATGACTAGCATTTATGTAACAAAGAGAAGAAAACAGCCAACAGGCGATAGACAGTTACAAGTGACGCAATTGTTAAAATGTCGGAAATTGTATTCAGTCAGTGCTGGATGTATGTTTTAAAACAATTATTACTAAAGTTTTAATTACTGCGCGCATTACACGTCTATGAGACATGATTAGATTTATAGACGTAAAGTGTGTTTGCTGTGCAATGCAACTGATATTCATGCAGTCAGTATATTACTGAAACTTTTAAATAATCGTCGTACACGTGCAGTAGTAGAAGTAAGTATAGTAGTAGCCGCTTAGTATACAAGCAGAAAGAGAGAGAGAGAGAGAGGGTGCATATAATACATTCCAAAAAGAAATATCTGTAATAAAACAGAACATACAGTGTATATATTTTTATGTAATTTATATTTATATGTATTATATTATTTATGTATAATAGATATTGTATATTTATATTTGTATATAATGTTATTTTAATTATTTATTGTATTTTTATATAATATTATTTATTATATATACTCTTATATTAATTTATATAATTTGTATATATATAAAATTTAATATATTTTTATATTCTTTATATATATATATATATATATATATATATATATATATATATATATATATATATATTAAATAGGAAAAGTTTGAGAGACAGTCTCTTCTATAAAATCATTTGTGAAACTACCTTTCAGACATGTCTATTTTAATTAATGTGACAACATAGAAATGAGTATAAATCCAGTTTATGAACATCAGTTTTCATGCAACGATACTGAAAAGAAGAATCAATAGACTTCCTGATTATTTGAACAATCCAGTCAGCCGAATCGTCATAATCCCATTCTGTTTTGGATAAATAAAGTCCCACTCTAGAAAAGGCAAAAAGACAGATACAGAAATGTGTAAACGCGTGCTTCTGGAAATTTACAATTAATTATTTTTCCCTCTTCAAACTCGGAAAAACCTCCCAAGTATTGCTCTAAATTCGGAATTTGCCATTTTTCAGATTTCTCTGTAAATTTAGAAAAATAATTTAAAAAAACCATTTCGTAACAATGAAGCAGATTTCAATACAAACATATAAATAAATGTGAGTAGATAACAGTCTAAAATTTGCACTACAAATACATATATCCAGAGACAATATTATACGTCACACGTTAACCAATAATTTGCGTTCACAGTAAGTCATGCGACGGTAAATATATTCGTAACCAACGGAAAAAATTTGTACGCAAGAGGAGGAAAGAGTATACAAAGGAAAAGTAACGAAAATGAAAATGAAGAGTAAAATAAAAAAGTACGTACCTGTTGATATAAACATTTCATAAATCTATGCAAATTATAATATATTTATAATTATAATATATTATATGTTATAATTATAATATATAATATATTTAGCTTATAAAATGTTATAAAATACCTGCAAATGTATGTTATAAAATTTTATAGAACATATTTGCAAATTATATCGTATTACATGGTAGAGATACACGTAAACGTTTTTATACATTCATGTCACTTACATACGTTTATCTATACATTCAACGGCGAGTTCACTTTGATTCCTTCCTTTGGCTTAATAATTATGCTATATCTGTGTACCAATATATAGTCCTAACAAATACAGTTCTAATTTCTATATTTTCGTCAATATAAAATACATCGATAATTACCGAGTTTATTTATTACTACTACAATTTTCTATTTTCTAAATATCTCTAGGATATTTAAGATACTTTTTAAACGCAGCTATGCTGCATCGTCATCTAGAATAGCACGTAGAGCGGTACACATGGACAGAGCATTGGACACGTACTGAAAAATTACCGTATTCATACAACCTTCGGTAAATTTATGAACAACAATTGAATGATTTGCAGCAATAAGAAAGTCTCCAATATCCAAATTGCAAAAAAAAAGCAAAATTGTAGATAAATGTTATAATTTAACGCTGAAAATGACCGATGATTAAAATACAAAATTTATTTTAGAGAAACCAGCGTGTAAGGAACGTGAAAAGATTATAATAAAATAAAGACTACGAAACATGTATATTTACCTGAACTTTATGCAGTTCTTTAACTTGTGAACTTATACCTGTATAGATATCATTATTTTTAAAATTATTTTTCACTAAATAACGACGATTAAATATCATTGAATATCAATCACCTCGAAATACATTGAACGAAAAAATAAAAACTTTCTCATACTTTTGTAACTTCGTAATGGAATTGTAAAAATCGTCCCACATTGAACGTGTTAAAATGCACAACAGTAAATCTATAAAAACTGCATAAAGAACGTCACTTTGACCACACTAAATTAGAGACTAATACTAATAAAAACCAGAAAGTACTTCTTATTCCAAACAAAAATCATTCAGTTGAAATTTGGTTGCTGATTCGGCTTACCGTACAGTTATAACGTAAAGACAGCTCCGGTACTAGAAAATTGATAGAAAGAGTCATCGGGCTTTGACATACCAACACGTTCAGCAGATCCTTTTGCACTTTTACCGTCTCATCGTACCACTTTAACTCGTATACGCTACGTGAAATGCTTAGACTCTGCGAATTATAGAAAATGAAAATGCAACTTACACGTTAATAATTAATTTAGCCACTATGTATACCATGTCTTTCATATGATCAGCTGGCCATGTGTACATGTAAAGATACGTGAGATAGACGAGAACCCCGCATGCAAACGGCAATTTCACCAGTAACGAAACTTTTTAGTAACAAATAACGCTGTCAGTTCGTGCTATTCAAAAAACATTCTCTTCTTGCATACTATTTACCATGACCATAATAATGGCAGTTAACGTCATCAGTAACGTGCATGTTATTATAACAAAAAATATCATGAAACCAAAACAGCTCATCACATCTTCCGCGTATCTAAAAAAAAAAAAAAAAACGAAAATGGGAAAGATATAACCATCACATATGATGACCACAAGTGCATCGTATTTATTCCAGATGTAATCATTACCTTCTTAAATGTAGTTGTTTCTCAATGCAAACAGCCAGCATACGAATATCCAACTTGCATCTCTGTACTTCCACGCCTAAACATTCGAATTTTGCTGCCGTAAACCAAATAAGAAAAGCTCCGAATACGCATACACATACGTGAGCGCAGGATTGCTGGCAGGCGATAATTAGATGCGTACGCGTCACAACATTTATCAACGTGCGATTAACGTCAAACGGATATTCCACGTAAAATATTTGAATAATTGGAAAAAACAGGGGTCCGTACACGTAAAAAATCATGACTATGTATGCACACGCAATATAACTTCCGTAGAAGCGGCCGCATCTAGCAATATACATGCGAAAGATCTCCTTCTCGTATGGTTGTGCCTCTCTGACGCAAGTCCACAGCTCGTCGACTATGCGCTGTAATTCACTCTTGAGACAAAGAATCCCAAATACGAAGAATAATGAGATATAATGAGTAGCGACTTACTTGCAGAGTGTCATGCTTGCAGAAGCATATAACTGTTTGAACGATACATTGAATCTGCAATATCGACTGGGTGATACATTTCGAAACAATCTCGATATCATCCGACCGCATATAAATGGCATAGAAGCTAGGCGGAAGTAATAAGGCACCGTTAATGATTGAAAAGATCTGCGCCACTTTGTAACCGAAGATTTGATTTCTGCTGCTGTTCATTGGAAGTGGCCAGCAGAAACTAAGTGCCACGGACAACCGAGTAATGCTGAATGCTTTCTCTGGAGTCACTTGTTTCAACATAATTGCAACGAACGTGAAACTGAAATTTAACTGATGTAACAGCAGCTTATGTACAGGTTATACCATTCCATCTCTCTGAGTAATTATAGACGTTATTGCAGCAAATTTAATAAATCATCACACAACCGGGAACGATATGTTAAGGGATGGTGTACTTCCGCTTTTACTGCACGTACTGAGTGACTGTAATTACGCATAATTACTGCGTTATACATAATGGAGGGTGCGTTATTAATCACGTACAAAGAAACGGTATTAAGAGTTGGAATCAATATCTATATCTTGGAACTGCAATACAGCGCAGGTACATTACATTCTACGTTCAGTCTATCGTGGAGTTCTCACTAGTACTAGATTTTTTGAGGAGCAATCGTCGTTATTGGACCGTATGTTCGTGAGGAATGAGTAAGTCGTAAGAGTACACGTGTATTATGTAACGTTCTCCGGTGTGTACTAGCATTTATATGACAAAGGGTAAAAAACGGACGACATGCGATGTACAGTTACAAGTGACACAGTTGTTAAAATGTAAGAAATTGTATTCAGTCAGTGCTGAATGTATGTTTTAAAACAGTTATTATTATTGTTATTACTGAAGTTATAATTACTGCGCGCATTAGACGTCCATGAATCGTGTTTAAATTGATAGGAGTTTGGTATGCAATGTAATTGTTATTCGTGCAGTCAGTGTATAGTGGAATCTTTTAAATGATCGTCGTAGTAGTTGAAGTAGTAGAAATGCGTATTGGGTCAGCCGCGCCTAGTACAGAGAGAGTGGGAGTATTCAATATATTTCTAAAAAGAATTATCTATAATGAAACGGATCATACAGTACATATATAAAATGGGAAAGTTTGAAAAAATTTAATTATCGGTATATACATACGTATATATATGTAATAGTAATCTGTATTAGAGTACTGATGATTAGTAACGAAACATGGGTTTATTTATTACAGATTCAGAGAGAATATTAAACATTCAAAAGAATTTTACATATTTGAATAAATTTTACATTTAAATATATATTAAATATTTATATTTTTAATAATTTTAAACTCCAAAAGGATTAACTCGAAGGAATTCGGGAAAAATAAAAATGTTCGCCATTTTTTGATCATAGTAAAAATTAAGCTCAGTAAATTTCATGGTAAACATGACGTTAATAAGAAGTCTAAACACAATTTTCTAACATAAAAACGTTGTATGGTGATACTATATGAATAATAAGTTTACCTCATTGTCGTTTACCTACGTTATGCGATCAAAAGTGAGTTCCTCTTCTACGTTACAATTGTTTCAAGAATTGTGCATCGCATTCATGCAAAAAATTTTGTTCCAACGAATGATTTCTAATGCATTTATTTTCACTAATAACGGAACATCGATATTACGAATGATCGATTTATTAATAATTGCTATAATTTTACTATTTGTTATAATCATGAGTATCTTGACGATGAGCATCATGACACTTCTTAAATATATTTATGTTGCATTCTTGTCTAGTATAGCACGCAAAGCAGTACAGAATGAAAGAGTATTCGACAAGTACTGAAACGAGAACATCAATCTCTTATCTGTTTATCACGCTAGATCAAATTTTTAGTGATGACCGAAGGACTTGCAGCAATCAGGATAGCTTCGAAAATAACATTGAGAGATGAAAAGAATTAATAAACAAATGCTAAAAGTCTATATTTAAAAACGCAGAAGTCTGCTATTACGAATGTCAGACGATTATCGAATCGTTGGTACATTTCAAAAAGTCATGTGGTTTCTGATGATTTATAGTTATATTCTGTGGATGCAAATCGTTCAGTCGATGTTCAACAGTTAAGTACAATCGACCTACCGTGCAAAAGTAGGCCAATGAAAGCTCTGGCACTAGACAATTGATGGAAAATGTCACTGGCTTTTGATATACCAAGATATTCAGTAGATCCTTTTGTATTCCTACGGTCTCTTCGTACCACGTTATATCGTACACGCTCCGTGAAACGCTTAAGCTCTGCAAAGAGCTAGAAGATTAAAGATCGGCTACAATTAAAACAATATAGTCGACGAATGAATACCTTCTCTTTCATATAATCAGCTGGCCACGCGTACAGGTAAACGTACATAAGTAGAGCAACGCTGCGGCCTGTGAACGCCACTTTTACTGTCAGCGGCGTATTCTATTTGTAAAATAAATTATTAGTCCATGGTTTGCGTCATCTAATATTTCTACACCGCAGTAAAAAACACTGAAATCAATTTTATTTCAGTTGTTGGGATCGGATATCAGTGAAGTTAACACCAAAGTGAGATTCTCCAAAACATTTTATAAAGATTGGTTTTAATACTGTTTAAAAATAAAGAAATATACGAAAAACCATGCTGTAAGCACAGTCGTTGACGTATAAAAATAGCGAAATATACAAGTTTCATGACAGTCTTCTTTTAACAAAGATCATGTTAAAATATGCTTATATTGTACTGGAAATTAAAGACAATGTGCCATCGGTCTCGAATGTGTGCGGTTCTTTATGCAATTTTGTATCTTTATAAACACAGTTAAAGAAATGTTATTGTTACAATCTATTATTGTTGTTTTATATATTTTTACGTACTGTGCACATTCTTTGCATTTTCGCGCTCTTAAATTTCTTATTAATGCATAAAAATCCGCAGTCTAATAATAAACATCACTTACCATGGCTATTGCTATGGCAGCTAAAGTCATGACGAACATGCATGCTATTATAACATACAGTACCATTAAACGAAAGCAATTGATCACGTCTTCCGAGTATCTGAAAGAGGAAAATGCCTCGTACGTTCATTTTACCCGCAGTTAAACATTATTCTTACCTCTTCAAGCGTAATTGTTTTCCAATGCAAATGCTCATCATTCGAATGTCCGTGCTTCTCTGCATATCCAATGCCAAACATTCGAATCTCGCGGCTATAAACCAGATTAGAAGCGCTCCGAACACGGACAAGCATACGTGCGCGCAACATTGGCTAAAAGCGATACTCTGATGAGCGCGTACGATAGCGCTCACTAACGTGCGATTAACATCAAATGGATATTCTGCGTGTATTATAGAGTGAAGTGGAAAGATTATTGGCCCGTATATATATATTAACACCATCGAATAAGTACCAGCAATGTAACTTCCGTAAAAGACATTACACCTCGCCAGATACGTGTAAAAGATTTCCCTTTCGTATTGTTTGGCCTCTCTGATGCTAGTCCGCAGCTCTTCGATTACACGCTGCAAACCATTATTGCCTAAATTATCGAACCTTTTACGTAAAAGACGAGAGAGAGTGAACAGATACTTACTTGTAAAGTGTCATACTTGCTGAAACATATAACTGTTTGAATGATACTTTGAATCATACATATCGATTGGCCGACAGACGTTGAAACTACTTCGATGTCGTCCGATCGCAAGTAAATCGCGTACAACAAGGGCAGGAACAGCAAAGTAATGCTAATAGTTGCACAAATTTGTGTAATTTTGTAACCAATCACT